GTAAACACTCGGCCAACGAGGCAGTCGCCCTACTAACCAGGCTATAAATATAAAAAATATTTATTTTATAAACAAAACAATTCCAGATTCTTCTACATAATCTACGTGTTAGAGATGATCATCAAGATGTGTGCGTACGGGTTCTGTGGGTACTTCAAGTCGCACTGGAACAAGCTGGACTTCTTCATCATCGTCATGGCGACCAGTGGTGAGTGGGGCTTCATTTATTAACTGCCAATCTATATGGATGGTCTAATATTTTATCACCATCAGTCAGCTGGGAGTTGTCCATAGATAAAACAATGGACTCTTCCTTGAAGATAATTGTTAGCCACAACTGGGATGATGACAGGGTATGAAAATTAAAAATCTAATTAGTCCGTAAGTTAGGTAATGAAATGTGTATTTTTTTACTTTGTCATACATATTATAAAACAATACTTAGATAAAACGAATCAAAGTTTAGGAGTGAGGGTTGAGGGAGTGAGGGACGAAAACGTCATTTCTACGTATAAAATGTACCTAGAAGTGACGTCACGCGACATTGCAAATCAATATATCGTTGAAAGTATTCGTTTCTGTAAGAAAATAAAAAATACGTGTTTAATGATTTAAAATAATCTACCAGACGGACATTAAAATAAAAATTAGGCATCTACTCTATTCTTCACACTTTTTTTTATATCTGATAGGCCGATTTTGACCACTATCTCGATCTCGCCTGGTGGTGCACGATGATGCGGTCTACGATGGAGCACGTCGTCCCATAAGCGACCTATTCACTCGGGCCTTGAAGACACCCATGTTATACCCCTCAGGAAATACAGACTCTGGCAAAGAATTCCACTCTTTAGCAGTACGCACAAGGAAGCTTGATGCGAAGCGCTTCGTGCGTATTACCACAGAGCTTGGGTATTACAGTTACGTCACCTATTTAACGGGAAGTTTAGGTGTCCAGAATTCTATAATTAATCCCAAGGATATTAAGTAGCGTACTATCTTAGAAAATGCAAAGATGGAGCTCACACTTCCGAAAGTCTTTTCAGATATTAATTGTGTTTCAGCGCAGTATGTTCATTCGCCCATTTTCTATTAAGAGACATTTTTTTATGTTGCCCCTAATATACTCGACTACTTTTTATAGATAGACCAACCGTGCAATCGTATGACAATTCACTTAGTTACACATGTGGTGTTGTGGGTGACACATTGGCATGTACTAGCATTGTGTGATTGTCTTCTGCATCGTGGATACGTTTTAAAACACATAATTTCACATATAAATCACACTCCGGACTGGAACAACAATTTTTGGATCATACAAGTAATTATTCGTTCGGGAATCGAAACCGTAGCCCCTTACGGGTTACCGGGGCTCCGGCTCGACGTGCAGGAGAAAAAACGGGGAGGTTTTTAGTCAGTAAGAGTCTGACACTCCCTCCCGCCTAACCCAGGCGGGAGCAGTCATTCGATGATGTTCCCCCTTAAAAAAAACTCCTTTCCCCCTCAAAAGGCCGGTTACACATTTTTATCTTTGCTTTTAACTTTATTTTTTCCTTAACTGAGCTGTTTGAGGCTCGATGGCTCTGATTAATCCATCAAGCGATCCGTCTGATCGTTTGCTCTTCTATCCGATAAAAATTACTTCACACGTTAGCATTTTCATTACTAATGCATGCACCCTTTGATTGAACTGTATATCTCTATTTCAGACTTAATTCTAGACGTGCTAGATGCCCTAACGACCTGGGACAAATGGAGCAACCTGAACTCCAGCTTCATAACTGCCACCAAGTTGTTGAGGATGCTCAGATTTCTACGTCTGTGTAAATTGGCCAGGTATGTAACATCTAACTGATACTACTGATAGGAGCGCCTTTAGTCTGCATGGCGCCTGGGTACAGTATAAATATTTGTGATCTCTTGTATCGACTGATTATCGTGAAAAAATAATTAAAATGACTTTTTGGGTATCTAATAATAATAATGTTGTTATTTCAGGGTGTCCGTGCCCAAAATAATGGCGTACATAGACCGCATGATTGACATACAGCTAGCGTTTGGATACGATGTCGGAAAGGTAATTATAAATTTATTTATTTTTATTTAATAATAGGTACCTATTATTAAATAATTAGCTCATTGCTGGGCCACCGGCTGCCGCTCAACGTGTTCGATTCCCGCACGGAGCAACTCGTTGTCATCATAAGATAACATCACATCTTTTATCCCCGAAGGTGTAGGCAGAAGTCAACATTATGCCACTGCACTATGTAACACGCTTTTCACTATTTCTGTAATGAGTCCCATGTAATAGGGGGTGAGCCTATTGCCATATACCGGACACATTTCCAGACTCCATGCTACTACTGAATTTAAAAAAAAACCCAGTACTATTCTTTTTAATTACCCAGTAAGACTCCATACATACCAGTTCAAATTGACTTGGCTTTAAAAATATGCCATACATTGATAAATATAACATTGTAGGGTTTCGTTACGGGTGCCCAAGAAGTATGTACGCTGCTCCCACAGCTAGTCGACAACAAACAAATACAAGACATGCTTACAGCACAACTGGATAACGACAGGTATCTTCAAAATGCCTTCAATATTCTCTAACTCGAATAATATCATCAGATTTATCTCACTATCACTTAGTCAGTGTGGGAGAGTCATGCTTCGGCACGAATGGGTCGGCTCGACCGGAGTGATACCACGGCCGAGCAGAAAACTAACATGTAACAACGCTGGCGTTGTGTTTCGAAGTGTGAGTGAGGTTACCGGAGGCCCAATTACCCCCCCCCCCTCTCGAATCTCACGAATCCCTGAATCCCCAACAATCCTCAAATTCCTACTCCCCAAAAGGCCGGTAACGCACTTTTAACGCTTCTGGTGTTCCAGGTGTCCATGGGCGACACCGATTCTCAATACGCAGATTTTTGAGAGTAGGTACCTAAAATGTATTATAATAAAATTGATTTGTTTGCAGGTTGGTAGTCACCCGTCAGCTTGGGTTACTCCAGCGCGACAGGCCGTGGACTGCCATCACTGTGAAGACCAGGCAGGCCACCACCTCCACACTCAACATCATGATCCTCGACGCCATGCAGCTGAAGGAGGAAGGTGGGAACGTCAATGCCTCATTGGCCGAGTTGGGTTCGATTCCTAGGTTGTGCAAAGTATTACTGGTTTTTTTTTATATCATCAACAGCCTATAAATGCCCACTGCTGAGCAGAACCTCTTCTCGCACGGACAAGGTTTGAGCAATTAATCACCACGCTTGCTCAATGCGGGTTGGTGATTACAAACTTATAATTAGGAATTATAAGCCCAGGTTTCCTCACGATGTTTTCCTTCACCGTTTGTCAGTGGTGTCTGAATAATCTTAGAAAGTACGTATAACTTTGAAAAAGTCACATTGATACCTTGCCGTTGTTGGTAGGTTTCGAACCCGCACCCTCATGCATGCTAAGACGCCCGTCTTAAACCTCCGGAGCACCACGACATTATATTATTATGATTTTTTTTATATGATTTCAACAAATACTTATTATAATTTTACAGGATTTTTGGACGAAATGGAATACAGATTACTGCTAAGCGCGATTCGAGAGAAAATTCAGATGTGTCGTCACAAAGGCAGCTTGGTGGCGCCCTCGTCGCCTGAGGTGAGATATTGATAACAATAGAGTGTACTCAATTAAGTCGTTTTTTCATCATCACCATAACAGTCGCAAGATATCAATGACCTATGTTCCTAGGTCTCCCTAGGCCCCTTTGTAGCAAATTTCGTTTATGCCATGTCATTTTTGAGATTGAGTAACAAATATTTATTTATACTGTCGCCTTTATAAAATAGCTAAGATTCCGACCGGGTAGTCAAAAAATAAAAGCCTATGTCATTCTGCAGCCCCCTATTTATGGACACAAACGTCATATTGTAACTTAAATAACTCAAATTATTATTATGTGTTTCGGCTTATTTATGTAATTGTTTGACGAGGAACTCGACTAGTTTCAATTCAAGCCATACTATCATCAACAGCCTATATAAGTGGCCACTGCTGACCAAAGGCCTCTTCTTACATGGAGAAGGTTTTAAACATTAATCCCCATGCTTGCTCAATGCGGGTTGGCGATTTCAAACTTATAATTAGAAATTATAAGCTCAGTTTCCTCACGATGTTTTCCTTTACCATTTGTCAGTGGTGTCTAAATAATATTAGGAATTTACATTACTCGGAAAAAGTCACCAGGAAGCCATACTAGAGGCTCATATTCATGAGCAGGATTCCGCGACCCGCGACACAGTGACCGTTACGCTGCTCCCGGCCAGTATTTTATAAAAATTAAATAATTAATAAATAAAAATGATTAACAAAAATCATACCATAAAAATGTACGACATGAAAGACAAACAAATAACCATTTCAGGATTCTCAATACGGATTTACAAAAATAAGCTTCCTTATGCGTATTGCTAAGGAGTGGAATTCTTTGCCAGATTCTGTATCTCCTGCAGGGGCATAGCTAGCGCCGTATCTGCCGTATCAATTATACGGGGCCCCCGCACTACAGGGGCCCCCAACGTGCCTAAGCAAAAATTAATAAAAACTTCCCAATTTTTATTCTATTTCAGTAATCACAAAAGTAAAAAAAAAACCATTTTTCCCGCGTAAAGCATGCGTTCAAAGGTTGACGGAAACTTAAGAAAAATAAAAGTGATTAAGGTCCGCTAAATAGGACAGAGGGAGTTGCTTGAAAAGATTTTCGATTTTCACACAAATTATAAGAATTTTATGTAAAAAAAAGTCTTATGAGAAATGTTTACCCTAAACAAATTTTTATACGCCCCCCCCCAAGGTACGTTACGCCACTGGTCTCCTTAATGGTATAACCTGGGTGTCTTCAAGGTTCGAGTGAATAGGTCGCTTATGGGACGACGTGCTCCATCGTAGGCCGCATCATCGTGCACCACCAGACGAGATAGTCATACGTCGGACTATCAAATAAAAAAAAATATATGTTTCCAGACTCAACTCCGCGCAGTATCGTGGCTACAAGGCAACGAGCGGATAGCAGACTTCTTCTTAGAACATTCGGACATACTTAACTTTAATATTAATGATATATTGATATCTAGAGGTAAATTATACTTATCATCATCAATATAGTTAATGTGGAAATGTGGAATTATCGTTAAATTAGATTTATTTTAACAACTAAACATCAATCGTTAATGTGGAATAATTTTGACATAATAATATGATTATTTTAATTTAAATTGTATTCTCATCTTATCTTTATAAATATAATTCTTCTGTGAGTGTGTATGTCACTGAACTTCTCTCAAACGACTGGACCGATTTTGATGAAATTATTTGTGTGTGTTCAAGGGGATCTTGGAATAGTTTAGATTCACAAATCAGCCCGGTAGATGGCGCTGCAGGTTTCTAGGTTATTTATCTATACTTATTATTACAGGACAACGTCTGTCGGGTCGAGTTTGTTTTTTTTTTGTTTGTTTGTTTAAACGCATTAATCTCCGTAACTACAAGTCTGATTTAAATAATTCTTTTTGTGTTGGATAGCGCATTTATCGAGGGGATATAAAACATCACGCTACGATCAATAGGAGCTGAGCAGAGCGTGTGAAACCGCGCGGAAGTAGCTAGTTTCATTCATAAAGATGTAACGAAATTAGCTGATGTTGAAATTCCATAATATTGTTTTTCTTTTTCTTTTTTATTATATTTCTACACCGGCAACGGTAGTGCATGAGAAACAATTATAGTATTATATATATAAATTATATTATAGTTAACGCCTGGACCATTTTTTTAATGTACGTTAGAGCTCAAGGATTGTTTTTACGGCTAGAAAAATTCGAATATTTTTTTTTTACAGGACGAAGTCTGTCGCGTCCTCTAGTTTCAAAAAAAAAACACAAAGTCGGTACACATCTGATCGTCATAATAATATATTTCAGGGGACGAGCCAAAAGGCATGTACATCCTAGTATCAGGTCTGCTAGAAGCCACCTACATACCCCCAGACGAGGATATTGATGAAGCTATACCCAATTACGAGTTCATCACGGACCTCAAGTTCGGGGACCCCAGCCAGGACTATATCGTGTCTGGTAACGCTGTGGGAGTTCTTGGGGTGAGATTTAAAATACTTTTTACCGACTTCAAAAAAAGGAGGTTTTGTGTTCGGATTGTTGTTTTTTTTTTCTATGTATGTATGTTCTACTACGCCAAATGTGTACTGGTTTTCAAAACTCTTCTTTGATTTAAAAGGTGATTACTTGTCTATTTGTTTATTTATTTTCACATAATATATACTGCACGGTTGGTGCGGCAGCTAGGCAACCGGCTGTAGCGGGTTCGATTCCCGCACGGAGTAACTCTTTGTGTGATCCATAGGGTGGGTGTTACATTGTACAGTAGCTTTAAGTGCCGTAATATCCACCTTTGCCTATCCCTTTGAAGATAAAAAGCCTGATATTATATTAGCATATTTTTCAAACAAAACAAAAAACATCATTATAAAACAGATATAATTCTTGGACGCTATTCCTGATGCTCTTTCATTTTTGAGTCCGAATATCTCCAGAGTTTAAAAACTAGACTATATGTATAACAGGTGCTAACAAACCGTCCATATAGCTACACAGTGCGCTGTGACTCCGCGGTACAAGCCTACTACATCACCATGCCCGTCATTAAGGAAGCATTCAATCTAGCTCCACATCCTATCATGGGGTAAATATTCATTATACGACTCTTGATTTCTAATTAAAATATTCCTCTAATGCTTTTAAGTGGGTCGGCTCGACCGGAGTGATACCACGACCGAGCAGAAAACTGACGTGCAACAACATTTGCGTAGTGTTTCGTCGTGTGAGTGAGGTTACCGGAGGCCCAGTTACCCCCCAATCTCCCCAATCCTCAAATTCCCTATTCTCAAAAGGCTGGTAACGCACTTGTAATGCCTCTGGTGTTTCGGGAGTCCATGGGCGACACCGATGGCTTACCATCAAGTGATCTCGTTTACAACCTTATGCCATAAAACACAACAATTTTAAGCTCTATTTTATATTATAAAAATATTGCAATGTAACTGCAATCAGATGAAATAATTCCTTTAGTATTTATAATATTCGCAAAGTGGCTGACAGTGGTTGGATGCGAAATTCTGAAAAATGAGTGAACACATAACATAACATCACGCCTCTTATCCCCGAAGGGGTAGGCAGAGGTGAACATTATGCCACTGTATAATGTAACACCCACTTTTCACTATTTATGTTATGAGTCCCATGTAATAGGGGGTGCACCTATATGCCGGGCACAATTCCAGACTCCGTACCACAGAAATATTAAAAAAGATTCTTTAATATATCTGTGCTCCGTACTGAGATTTTTTTTAAAACCCTGTAATACTTTGCCCGACCCGGGAATCGAACCCGAGACCCCTTGCCCGGCAGTCGCACTTGCGACCATGAAAAAAGTCGCACCACCAAAAATGAGTGAGTAACCTGCTTTTGGAAATGTCCAGCACTGCAGCACTGTATGTAAACAACATACATAACTTCACGCCTGTCTCCCATGGGGGTAGGCATAGACTATGGAACGCCGATTGCTACGATTCTTACATACCTCTTTCGTTTTATCAACAGTCATCAGTCTTTTCGTACATACATGCATGTTTTTTATAGTCCAAGTAATAAAGAATAAGATATTTCTTGCCTTATGTATGTACCATTACTTGTTTCTGTGTACATTAAAGTTTAAAGAAAGAAATAAAAAATATTTTTCTTCATCTAGTCTCGAAGCGTCAATGTGGCGTGAGATCGGCATCAAGTTAAGTATGATGGTGCTCCCGACAGTGCCCGCCTACCACGGCTGGCCGGTGGAACGACTCAGTATGAGGCTGGAGCACGCCTTCGTACCCTGTCTCAAAGCTTTTAAAGTAAGATATTATACGTTTTATCTACTAAATATACATTTAATCAATACTGCGATATATGTTGACTTTTTTTTAAGGGGGGAAAATCATCGAATGACTCCCTCCTGGGTGAGGTGGGAGGGAGTGTCAGACTCTTACTGACTAAAAACCACCCCGTTGCTTCTTCTGCACGTCGAGCCGGAGCCCCGGTTACCCGTTAGGTTCTCCGCGACTCCGAATTGGCATCGGCCCTGTTGGGCCCCATCTGTGGTGGTCTGATGGCTCTTTGAGGCGCGCGCGGATTGCTCGGCGCCGTACGCTCGGGTCTGTTTCTGGTCGGACGGGGAGCCACCCATGCTCGCCGTCCGCAGGCCCGCGCTTACGGTGGCCGGAGATCGTCCCGCGATCCCCGACGCCCGGTGTGTCCTTCGCGATGGCTGGGTTGCGAGGAGGCAGCGCTTCGTTTCATCCCGCCACGCACTTATCTGGCGCGGCGGCGGAGTTTCGCCCCGGCGACGTGGCTCCGCGCGCATGCGATACACGAGCGCAAGTACCTTCGCCTCCAGATCCCACGGCGGTAATCCGGCAAGGAGGTTCGCCGACTCCCCGGAGATCGTGCGGTATCCGCGGATCATTCGGATCGCCATGACCCTCTGTGGCATGAGCAGCGCCCGAGCGGGACGCCGTACCATATATGTTGACTAGTCTATCATTTTTGTGGTACTAGTCGAGTGCTGACTATAGGCAGCTTCTTACGGTGATGTTTTTTTTTTGTATAGTCTAATATTGGATGCTGGATGAAAGTTATAATAATTTCATACGAGCCATAATTATATATTCTATGTCTCTATTCCCCACCACGATTAGATACTAAGATAATACGATACAAAATCGGAAATGTTCTCCAGGTGTTTGTAGTGAACGAGTTGATGGAAGACATAGTGCTGTTGGATGGTATCTGCCAGGACATGGCCACCAGAGAGGTGTTCCAGCCACCTGCATACATACCCAGGTATTTATTATACTCTATAAATCTATTAACGCAAACGCATATTCAGTGGATGTAAATAATAATTAGCAACTTTGGAAGTTAAGAAGCCATGAACTCTACGCTTGGTAAGTAGGTTAGAGATCGTAATTTACAAAGTTTAGTTACATCAGACCATCACAGACCCCCCCCCCCATAGGGCTGATGCCGATACGGAGCCGCGAAGGACTGAACTTGTCTTGATGATGACGATGTCTTTTTTTATTGTACACTTAACTACCCCATATCTGGTTCCTTATAACTATTTCTATACAAAGGTTGTCTGGAAGAAATCACCATTGTGTTATAATACCGCCCATTGTTCGCATATTTACTCGAATTGATTATTTTTAAGCTACTTAAATGTGTACAATAATGCATAGTAGATAAATAAATAAACAAACTGAACAGTGTACGTATTATAGTAGATCTATTTTAATTTCAAACTTAATTATTCTGTTATAAAGTTAAAAATCCGTTAAAATAAATCTCCAGGACGGCCCACCGCCTGATATTCCCAAAGTCGTCCCAGCTGATGGTATCAGGCAGCTGTCCAGAGACCAAACTACTGATAGTACCTGCCAAGGATACTGACGAGCTAGATATCTTGGAGGACGAGGTCGATGACCTGCAGTGTGAACTGGTGAGTTGACACTAGTTTTTTTTATTCCATGGTTAAAACGGGTTGTGGTAAGTTTGGTTTTGATTAATCAAAAAGAGAATTTTAGGTAATGATTTAGTTAATATACTCAGATTAAGATTCGAACTGTATTTAAGTGAATACAAAATGTTTAGGAAAATTCGGCACGTCTTCAAACTACAAATCCAAAATTAAGGTATTTTTTTTAAGAGGGGAAAATCATCGAATGACTCCCTCCTGGGTGAGGCGGGAGGTAGTGTCAGACTCTTACTGACTAAAAACCACCCCGTTCCTTCTCCTGCACGTCGAGCCGGAGCCCCGGTAACCCGTTAGGTTCTCCGCGACAAAATTAGTAGTATACGTTACCAATTTGAATTAAAAAAAAATAATCGTCAAAATCATTCCAGAAACATCGAAGTAATCGGGTAACAGACATAAAAAAAACATACAGCCGAATTAATAACCTCTTCCTTTCTGGGAAGTCGGTTAAAATTTTAAAATACTTGTAATAGAAAAATATTTAGTATCAAGAAATGAAAACATTGCTATAGAAGTATAGATAGGCCCATTTTCTTTGGGCTTCTACTACGTCTATGTTCTAGTCATTATTCAACAGTAAATTACTATACAGCAATACTCCTTCACATAAGTTATTACCCGACTGCCAAAGAAGGAGGGTAATGTTTTTCGAGTGTATGTAAGTATGTATGTATGTCTTTTCCTTTGTGACCACCTGTAGCCTAAACGGCTTGATGGATTTTGATGTATGAGGTATCGTTAGATTTGTCTTGATTACGGGAGTGTCATAGGATACATTTTATCCTAAAAGTCCCACGGGATAAAGACATAATAATATTTTTTCTAAATTTCCCTTTAAAAAAATATGTATGCGGTATCATTAGATTCATTTCAATCACGGGAGTAATTAATATAGGATACGTTTTTTCTCAAAATTCCCACGGGAACATGTTAATTCTGCGTCAACGCAAAGCAACTCATGCGTTAGCAAGCAAAAAGATAGGGCGTGGCCTGGCATGCGGCGCGCGGCGCGGTGCGGAGGGGGATATGCTCGAGTATACAGCCCGATTGCGGGCACACGCATGAGGGCACACGTCGTTGACGGTCGTCTCTAAATAGCGATTTTATTCGATATATCCCTATTTGTATATATCGAAATAAAAACAGCTAAAAAGTTATAAATAAAAAAATTATTATTAAAAAAACAAAATACCCGACTGCACACTAAAAAAAGAGTAAAACAAGCCCCACAATAATATTGATCAATCAAATGCTAAAAACTAATTATGTAATACCGTTTAAACAATACCTATATTAAAATACACTACAATATGTGTTCGTAATCGATAGTTAAATAAACAGAAACTTATTTTGAATACAAATTTACTGAATATAATTTATAAATGTTGATGGAATGCATCGCAGGCGGGGACCAACAGAGGCTTATTTATAGTCATTTCGGTTGTGCACCATTTAGCAGAATTTTCGTTGGTGGCGGTCAAGGTGGTCCCCGCCTGCGATGCTTTCCATCAACATTTATAAATTATATTCAGTAAATTTGTATTCAAAATAAGTTTCTGTTTATTTAACTATCGATTACGAACACATATTGTAGTGTATTTTAATATAGGTATTGTTTAAACGGTATTACATAATTAGTTTTTAGCATTTGATTGATCAATATTATTGTGAGGCTTGTTTTACTCTTTTTTTAGTGTGCAGTCGGGTATTTTGTTTTTTTAATAATAATTTTTTTATTATTTCTTATAATTATATCGATTTTCAAGTAATTCTGTGGGCCGATCCCGGCGGCACTGCAATGCCGGGCCGACCCGTGACGGGAGTGGAGCGAGCCCCGAACATCCCGTCAGTTTACAAAAATCAGTTTAATATACTGGTCCCTCAGTGAGGGAACTTTCAGATATTAAGCTGAAAAGAACAGATACTACACTTTGATCTTAGCCAAAAGGCCGAGAAGCGATACTGTAAAACTGAATACCGGGGAGGGTCATTCATTCGCGGAGAATCTTAACACCGCGATTCAGAAAATGACGTCACGGCACAGTGACATCTGTTGGTGTTTTGGAGAACTAAACGTCTGTGTCCTACTTGACACTTTGTATGTCGCGCGAACATTTAAACATTTGAGACCATATTTGTATTCTTTAGTATTACTTTATTATGTACTTATATGATAATATATGGTTGATAAATCCTAGTAAGACTAGTTTTTATCTACCTTTCATAACTTTAAAGGAATCCCTAAGCTAAGATAACCCCTAACGATATATTGGTTTTCCCAACCTATACCTATAACTGACACTTAACAGTCAACAATCAAGTAGGGGTTAGTTTTAGTTAAGGGATTGGTAAGGGGTGAAAGCAGCCTTATTTATATAATTTTATTTTAACAGTAAAATAAAATGTTTAAATAAATAAGCCTGTTTTAATTATAAGTTAATGTTACACTGGTAATTTATTAAAAGATTTCATAGTCAAATCACTTTATTAATATCAATAGAGTGAATAAATCCTAGTAATAGATAATCCTATATATAATAGAAGTCCAGTGTCCATATAACAATGAAATAATATAAACAGTCCATACCTACAGTTACTAGAACACAAACAACAATGTAACGTTTTTATGCCGTTAAATAAACAAAAAAGAAGTTACCCAAATTTTTTGCTATCCGAACTAAAGAAGGATTGAATCGAGGTGACGAATACGGTAGTTGACAGGTATTCAAATTCAATACTTTTATTGAAATGTCAAAAACGATACTTTTTCTATGAATTTTGTATTGGATCGCAACTTATGACGTCATGTCGCGGAGAACCTAACGGGTAACCGGGGCTCCGGCTCGACGTGCAGGAGAAGGAACGGGGTGGTTTTTAGTCAGTAAGAGTCTGACACTCCCTCCCGCCTCACCCAGGCGGGAGCAGTCATTCGATGATTTTCCCCCCTTAAAGAAAAAAAAAACTTATGACGTCATCATATTTCTGCGTCAAATAGAATAGGTACATACTTATTTCCTTGAAATTAGCGAGAAAAAATCCCAAAGTAGGTAAATTGTCAAATCTATGGATGAGAGTATGATTCGTTTTTAACTGTTTATTGCATTGAAAAGTTAAAACTACTTTATTTTAAACAGGAAACTAGTCAATTCGGTTGACGCGGTGGCTGGGCAACTGGATGGTGATGTAACACCTGCTTGCTTGCCTGCTGCATGCATTCCCGGCGTACACCAATTTTAGTCTTATATTTCAGGTGTCAAATGTATCGTCTCGTTGCCTGTACCACCGCGTGGTCAGACGCATCTCAGTGGAGTCTCGGGCGGCAGTGTCGCGCAGAGGCCGCGGCAAACGACGCCGGGCTGGCAAGAGAGTCAACTATCGGGAGTCCGTTTGGGGCAAGCAGATCTGTAAGTTATTGTTCTTATCCTTTCAATGTTTAAAAGAACATTTAAAGGTAACAAATCACCACCAATTAAAGGTAAAACAATATAAGCAGTGAAAGAATAAACCTTTTTTTGACAGTCGGGTGAAATGTAACTAAAATAATAAGCGCCAGAGGGCCAGAGTAGTAACACAACATAACATCACGCTTTTTATCCCCGAAGGGGTAGGCAGAGGTGTACATTATGGCACTGTACAATGTAAAGTAACACCCACTTTTCACTATTTATGTTATGAGTCCCATGTAATAGGGGGTGAGCCTATTGCCATATCGGATACAATTCCAGACTCCGTGCTACTACTGGGAATTTATAAAAAACCCAGTAATACTTTGCGCGACCTGGGAATCGAACCCGAGACCCCTTGCCCGGTAGCACTTGCGACTACTCGGCCAACGAGGCAGTCCAGAGTAGTCTACTAGCATTTGTGAATCTATGCGATATATTATATATAAACGATTAAAACGTCACACCTTTGATTTCCCGGAAGGGGGTGTCGTAGGAACATAATGATACAATGAAGGTACCTCTATCGCCAGTCATGTTATGATGAGTTCTATATATTAAGAAGTAAGCCCATTTTCATTTAACATAATGGGGCCCTATTGTATATCTGCTCGTTAGATGGCGCTAGTGTGAAGCTCTCGTACATTTACATTTACGCCATTGTTTTAGAATTTATTTATTTAGGAACTTTTAAACAATATGTCACGCCAGTTCCATTGTAACTTGCTGTAAGCAGAAGACTTAATTACATAGTAACTAATTGTTAAAATAATTTAGCCTCTCTCGACATTGGTTTGACTAAAATACTATTAAATATTCCTACATGTAACTTATCTTTCTCTTAGGATCATTCCCGACACACTCCACTGGACGATGGTAGACATTATCTATTTTATTAAAACAAACTGGACAAAACGGAAAATCCACCTTTTTTATAAAGAAATCAAAGACTCGTAGTGGCATGTGTCCGGAGCGTATTCTGAGAGCTGTTAGGTACTAAGATTTGCGTCATCAGGCAAAAAAAAAAACGTTCGCCCCTATTTCAAACTCCTTGCTATACAGTGTTAACGGAACGCTCCCAATAAACGCTGACAGGTGATGGTCAAAAATGAGTTTTATTTTCATAAGAGTAAGGAATGAAATGTTTCTTTTATGTTATAATAGTTGTAATCAACTCAAGGCTGATGTTGAATAAAATAATAATAAATAATAAAAATAATAAAATTTATTAAAAACAACATAGAACACATTTAGAATTACAGTTCGCTCAGATTTTATAGTAATAAAAAGTCTTAATAATAACACTCGTAATAGTTTACTTATTCTAGTCTTATACAATATACATGCGAGGAAATAAAGTTCTAAGTATACAATATATAGGGATTACCCGAACTAGGTTTATTTAAACCTGTGTTTCAGGCTATCAATGCCAAAAAAATGATTTGATGGATATAATTATAAATAAAAATCGTATTGCACAATTATTTAAAGACCAAGCAAGGACAACCTGTCCTAAATTATGAAACAAACAACACTATACTAGTTAATATGTAGATTTATCACTAAAAATAAGCAGTTTATTTTAACACTTCTAGTAATTTTTCCGTTTCTGAGTAATTGAGGGACTGTAAATATTCTGTAAGTATTAGATTACACTTATATAAACTTACACTTACACTTACACTTATGAATGAATAAAATGTAGACAAAAACTATTAAAACCGCCTACTTTTGTCAGCGTTCTTTTTACAACCTGTACCTCTATATAGAGGTGAATATACGTACTAAGAAAAGCTCTACTAGTTTCGAACCACAGAGGGGTTTTTCTTCATGAGCGACGTCGCGCAGCTCACTGAGTGCGACGTCGCCGCGACCGCGCATGCTGCTCATGAGGAAGAACCCCTCTGTGGTTGCGAAACTAGTAGAGCTTTTCTCAGTATATTCACGTGAGTAACCCGCGATTTTATTTAATTTAGTATATCTCACGATAGGTATTATAAAAACTGCACATAGAGGTTTAATGTATTTGTTCAAGTGATTACGTGGCGTATTTATGTATTGATTTTAATTCATTATTTTACAGCATCGCAGATATTGAACGGTGCAAGCGAGAGGGACATATCTTCAAAGTATTACAAGCCCAGCGTCAGTGATATTGTAAGTAGTTTCGTATGCCTTTATATTAAGCACGGTTACTTCTGAAAGATATTGGCCCTACCTATAAGAGGTCATCCATAATTTACGACGCACGAAGTTCATTATTTTTTGCCCCTCCATTTTTTTTCGTCTTTGTCGCAATTGGTCACATTTGTGAGATAGTGTGTCGTCACATTTTGCAGAATTACGTATGTATTAAAATTATTGAATGAAAACAGCGGTTCCGAAATTCATTTCTATTTCTATTATATAATTTTATTTCTATAAAATATTATTACCGAATCAAACAAAATAAAAGACAATAATATGTATTTCGTGTTTTAAAATAGTTTTTGAAATGTAACATCACAATGTTTAGAATCCCTCCTTTCCCCTTGTCACACAATGTCACACTTCGTCGACCCTACCCCTTAACGTGTGACGTAATTTATGGACGGCCCCTAATTAATGGTATACACACAATTCTTACAATAAATTTTACTCCTTTGCAGCCTGAAAAACTGCAAGCCCCGACAAAACCAAAAGGTAAAATATTACATACGAACAGTACCTTATGATAATTATACAGATTCAATCACAATGTAACACCTAAATTATCAGTTGCCTGTTATAAGTGCCATTACAATAGAAACTAGCCTAATAATCAATTGATATCTTGAAGGTCCGAGTGGATATGTTGCTTATGAGACGACGTGCTCTATCGTAGGCCGCATCATCGCTTATCACCAGGCGAGATAGTGGTCAAATCTCGATCCATCAAATATATATATAAAAAAAAATTTAGAGATTTTTTTGAAAACTAAAACTTTTAATAACACTTGGCACTTTAAGCCAAGGATACGCTAGGGGACAAATCTCGGACACGGTGGAGCATACGGCGGCGGTGTGTCCTGCGTGGGCTGAGCAACGCCGTGTCCATGACCATGGTACGGAGCGAGGGACACTGGGATGCCGTCTCCTCCTTTTGCGAAGTAGTCATCCTAGCTAAGGAGGGGGTAGAGCGCGTGAGGGAATGAACCTCCTCACGACCCGGTCGTTGCGAGAGACACTCTGGGCGTCGGGGATCGCGAGACGATCTCCGGCCACCGTAAGCGCGGGCCTGCGGACATAGAGCATGGGGTGATTTTTAGTCAGTAAGAGTCTGACACTCCCTCTCGCCTCACCTAGGCGGGAGACGTCAGTGTATGATTTTCCCCCGTGAAAAAAAAGGGGACAAATCTACCACAACATGGACACATGTCAAGCGAAGCCGGCCGATTTCACCCGACATATTATAAGTCGACAACGCGCGCCTATGTCCACAACAGCGACGTTGATGTTGCCGGACATGTCGACCAATCCGGCAACGTTGCGCTACTTCACCCGACGTCGCTGGCGACACGTGTTTTAGGATATTTGTCCCTTATCCTTGGCTTTAGCGGCGGAGAACTTAATGGGTTACCGGGGCTCCGGTTCGAAGTAGGAACGGGGTGGTTTTTAGTCAGTAAGTCTTGATACTCCCCCCGCTTCACCCAGGCGGGAGAAGTCATACGAAAATTTTCTCCCTTTAAAAAAAATCCTACAGATATTTAGAGCATAAAGTTGCATATATAAACACTATATTTTCGTTTAGATTTCATGAAGGCGCCTTCAGTGAATATTCCAGTAATAAATGAAATGCGTAGCAGACCAAATGGCACTGCTACTTCCTCGGGGCAGAATTCCGAAGAAGAGGTTCGTATAAAATATCTTCTGCCAGTTGCTTTATGTTATTCCAGACATCTATTTTCATAGCAAATTCCATTAAGATCTCAAATTCAAATTCAAATTCATTTATTCATTGTAGATCACAGGTAGATACATAATACAGTTGTTATCATAATTTGGTTGAGCTCAGCTGTGTCCTGCCCATAGGGCGTACAATAGTTGGGTACAATATTTATGTTCAAATAAGTCAATTATATAATAAAACAAGAAATTATTAGATAAATTACATAATTATGTCATGTCGATAAATGCTTATGTCAAATATTTATTATGATTTATTTAGTAAAATAAGTACAATAGGTAATACTGAACACGTCATGATGTTGGTCTAGAATATTGTAGCAGGGATTTGTCATTTAGGTAATCATTTATAGTTTAATAACATTTATTCACCAATATGTCATGTAATTTCTTTTTAAATATGGTTGTTTCTTTGATCTGTCCTATATCTCCCGTAATATTATTATTAGGTATCTATTCAGTGGTTTTTGAGTAAAAGAGTAACAAATATTCCAACAAATTTTCCCATACTATACAATATTAGTAGGATACAGACAGCATCCCCTAGTGATGACATCAAATTTTAAAATTGAAAATTTTGATTTGTTTTTTGATTTAAGATTTTTTTTATCATAACTTAAGGTTTTTTGTGATCTAAAAACACATAGAAAAAATTACAACATAAGGAAAAAAAATAATTTGAAACTGGTTTTACCCGTATGTAGACCGACGGAAGACTATTGATTATATTTTAGTAATGAACTAGGTACATAGATAGATAGACTTGTAATCAGTACACAACAATTTGATTATTATGATATCTGATGTTGGCAAGTAATATTGAATTGTTGTTATTATGTTAGTAGTAATATTTATATTGCTAGCTCACAATTGGCTACTTGCTTCAACAAAAATAAATTATTTCGACTTTTCAATACTATAATAAAATATTAAAAAATAATCATAATTTCGTTTATTGATTTTAGTATTTTTCCAGCAAATTCTTAAGTAATAAGAATGCTGTTTGCCGCTAAATAATCGTGACGTTTACACAATCTCGTACAAAATTCATAGAAATCGATCGTTTTTGACAGTTCATAAAAAGTATTGAATTTGACTAGTTGGCAAGTACCTAATTACAACATATAACGCATTTCAAACCTACTTTTGAACCATTAGCAGTTATGTTATAGGTTCCAGCTTCATGTTATGAATCTTTAGCCATCAGGTCACAATTCTAGACTCTGTGCTACTACTTAAATCTGTCCAAAATCCTAATAATACATTTGTCCGACTCGAGAATCGAGCTTCATGTTATGCATCTTTAGCCATCAAGTCACAATTCTAGACTCTGTGCTACTACTGAAATCTGTCCAAAATCCTAATAATACATTTGTCCAACTCGAGAATCGACCTCAAGACCTTCAGCTGTTCTACAGTCGTTAGTGCTATCGCTTTACTAACAAGATATTTTATAAAGGAAGCATTCTGTAGTATTATTTTTTAATTTCACAGATCTACAACACTTTGCTGACTAATAAACTAAAGAAACCTTCAACTACAAAGGTCAATAAAGGCAATACTAAATAGTGAATTATTTTCTACGTCATTTTGTATTGGTGGATAATTAAATTAGGCCCATCATTACTTCACATGGCTTGTCTTCATTTCATATAAAGGTATAATAAACTAAGACATAATTCTGATATGTAATGAAGGAAGTTCAGAGAAATGAAACGATTGATGCGAAACCAGATATATTTCTATTTTGTCTTATAATGGGCAATTGTATAAAAGACACAATTGATATTTAATTCCTTATTTAATTATCCACCATCATTTTTATATTTAGCCATGTATTTTGTTTACAACTATTTTAATATCTTTACTTAATACCTATACATATTGTTGTTTCCTTGTGAAAAGTAAATTGATTTTATATACCTAAGGTATACTAAGTAGGTATTATGTACGTTCTACTATAATAAAGAAATATACATCTCAATAAAAAAATGTTTCATTTGCACACCTTTTTATTTAGCTACCTCAATTTTCTGGGTTTAATAAAACACAATCTGGCTTTTAAACCAATTTATTTTAAAACTAATAATAAAAATATAAAAGAAATCGTTACTTGAACTTAAACTTGGCCAAACAAACATAAGTAAGACCAATTACTAAACAAGAATAGGAAAAAATATAATTAAAACTTTTTTTTGTATTTTTATCTGCATTGCAATAATTGTAAACTTAGGTAGGTAATATTAGGAATGTGAACAAAATGCTATAATTTATATTTTAATGTAATTTAGTGGCTTAGCACCAAATATTATCAAAACTGTACTGTAACACTAATAAATATCTAGATAGATTTATTTATATGCCTAGATAGAGCTGTCAGGTACGCAAAATAATTTGTATAAATCTTGCTACTCATGTCTGAGGGACTGACTAAAAGACAACGCACAGCTAAAACTATTGCTCTTAGAAAACTGAAGTGCTATCAGACTCTCTAGTACTTATGCAGGTAAGAAAACAAAAATTGATGAGTACAGAGACAGAAACCATTGGTTTAGCTACTGAACCGACCACTGGTTACAGATGTGGTTTGGTTAAAAACTATATAATTTAGTATAATGAAAGCTATACGTAATGCTTATCTTTCAAAGTCTTAGACTCAATCTAGGCATATAAAAATCTAACTTAAAACTATAAATAACCATTTCCATTATTGCTTCAGTAAAAATTTCTCATAAAACAAAATCAATCAAAATATTTTAAAATTTCAACAACCAAAAATAAATTCCGTAATTATTCAATTCCCTGTAACATCTCAGGGCATTAAAATCAACTTAATAAATAATTTAAAAAACTTTTAGCGAGCAAAATATAAAATTTTAAAAAATATATCGTAAAAAGCAAAAGAAACAAGCAGTCTTAGAGAAAAGCTTTGAAACATATTTGTGCAAAACTGTAATGGATCATATTATTTTATTTAAATATTTTATTTTATTTCAACACTGGTTATCTTTATACTGTACTAACTACATTTATGTATAACTATATATTTATAATTATTATACCGCACATTATACACTTTTTTATATTCTAATTTCTATTGAATGGTTGGTGTTCACACTTATTTAAAATAGGTAAGACTTTTATATTTAAATCACTGTTTTTTAAGCAGGGACTACTGGGAATGTGGAAATTAAAAAGCCAATAATTTTTAGCTAATTTTGTTAAACCATGTTTTTTATACATTAGCAACAAGTACAAAGTAACAAATTGTATTATATTATATTTTGCCCGCATATAATTTCTTGTATGAACACCAACCACATATCTAAGTACAATAACACGCTTTTAAAACAGTCAAGGGCTGAGGAATATTTTTTTTATACAACAATAATTAACATTAATTGATATGAAACCACAAACTATGTTTGAAAATTAACAGAAGAAAATTGGTACCATTCAATGAAATAGTATATTAGTTTTTATTTTAAATTTATGAAGATTTAAAGGTGATGTTAAATTAATAGACAGACAGACAAATCAATATTACATAGTTATATATAGGATATTTTTTTGGTGGATGCAACTGAGTCCCCGCTATTTAGTAGCCTATTCTGCCAATGGTTTTATTATATTTTGTGGGTCGATTTGTGGCCACTAAGTGATTTATTTCCAAACATAATTTGTTTCATCAAAATGTGTCATGATCAAGAAATATTTCGCAATCAAATGAAATGTCAATAAAGTTGTATTACTTGTAAAATTTATTTTAAATTGTATTGTTTTCAGTGTAAATAATTTCTAGACAGAAAACCAGTCAGTCAATAAATGCATTAAAACTATTTTATAATACGCATTTATTAGCTATAATGATTTTAATCTTAGAAGTCCAGTTATTTATTCCTTAGCGATTAGATTGGTATAAAATACAAGACTTTTTCTCATCAATAACATGTTTGTTTAATACAAAATATTTTTTCAATCCAATCCCTAAGGTTTACATGGTTATAACTTGGCAACATTCAATGATATGATATTTTATGCTGGCAATACTTTTTAATTTAATGTCAGAATGGTACAAAGTTAGAACCATGTGTTTAGTTGTGTTTACATTAGGTATTTGAACAAAATGAATAGAAATAATTTGAAACAGAATATTGTTGTTTGAACAGTTGTCTCACTGTGATGAAATAGACCTATGTTTTTCAAATAGAGAAAGTCTGATGTCAAACAAGATTGAAATATTTTTGTGTGCAATATTATTGTCATTATAATTTATCAAGGTGACAATATATTTATCATCACCGTAGTAGTGTCTGCATCTACACCGAAAAACTTGTTCAATACCTAACGTAAACAGTTTGATAAAGTTATCAAGGCAGATAGATAAACAAACAGAAATATTCTTATTGCATAACATTCATTTGTTGATATGAAATCACATTAAATGAGACAGAACATTTTCATAGTAAACATCTCTAACGTTTAACAAATTTATTTTATCTATTTTTTTAACAACATGTATTTAATATTGTCCATATTTAATTACGGTACTAATCCTTTAAATCTACAACAGTCATTAAATAATCTGATTAAGTAGTGATTGATATTATTATTGCGTTATATAATCCTTGAATATCTCCGTTAGCTGCGGGTCTATCTAACCTTAATACTTTTAACGATATGATCTATTTTCGGGGTTGCTGAATATTTGTTTGTGGTTTAAAATTGACATGTACTGGTGGCTTAGGACTATGAGCCACTTGTGCGGCCTCCGGGGTGAAGTCCGCATTACCTCTATTCGGTGCTCCAGAGATGGAGACTGGGTTCGAAGGCACAGGTGAAGGTCCAGACAGACCGGTCAGGTCCTCATTGGCTGGCTCCTTGCTGCTGTCTTTGGTATGAGGGCTCTTGTGCTGGGTAATTCTCATACCTCCAGCTTTCACTGTAATTTAAAAGTTGCGGACTGTAAAATCATTGCAAGATAACCTAAGTATGGAACTGAATGTTTGGTTGTAATCAGTGAGGAAATTGAATTCGCTATGCTATTGAAGTTTTGATGGATTTATGAACTAAGTTCAATTGTGTTTAACATAGTGTATTAACCCATAATAATTCAATAACATTTTGAATTACCCAATGTTATTATTACACAATAATAGTAAGTGTAATATTGTGTAATTAATTTAAGGAAGTATCAATATTGTGCAATTTAATTTGAAAAGACCTTTCTGGTCAAGAGTTCTTATAAGATTCGAACTAGATACCGGTAAAAACATTGTAATTTAAAAACAAAAACTGGCTAGATTTGGATTGATAAAAACAAGTTTTTAAGCATGAAAGTAGGTATGCTAAGCCTCGTAATGACCGCCTTGTGACCTTGACGCCTCAATTCTTTGTTTGACAACACGCAATTCATGTAACATGGAAAATATAACTTAAAATGACGTCATAAACAAATTCAAGGCCTGATCAATCTGATAGCAATGCGGTTCAATTTTAATTTATTAATCATGGTTTTAAACAATTAGGTATTTTCATTTCCTAACATTTTGAAGGGATATTTTAGTTCAAAGTTGAATATCAATAGTTGTTTTTTAATTTTAACATTTCGGTTTCCTGTTTGCGAAGAAAATGCTAAAGTTTTTAGACTCGTTTACACATAAACAAAGGCATTCGAACTAAGTTTTTACCTGCCGGGGGATGGCCAGCCTTAAGTTGAGAACTTTCTTCAGTGGACGACATGATTCAAGCGATATTATTACGATTGTAATTAATAAAATATGCCAACGCTACACAACTCAGTTATAGGTAAATTGTACCAAAAATACGACGTGTAATTACGATTCGATGACACGGCACGTACTTTTCGATACCAATGGGCGAAGTGTCAAAATGTTAGTGTTGTTCGTTCTGTATATCATGACGGTTTAGTCGACTATTTGTAATGTGATAAGTTACTATTTTTGATGGCCAAATTCTTTTTACAACGATTATGCAACACAAATTGTGTTTTAAATAATAACATAATATCCTATATCTATACGCAGGGACACAGAATGCTTAGAATATTGGTTATTATCAAATTAAATCGCCTAAAATACGTATCTAGGAATCGATTGATCAGTAAATTTCCATTAGGACCTTATTAGTATTATGTTTTAATATATTTCTCAATAGATGGCTCTGGGAATCTGGCTCGAATGAAGTTTGTTATTTATTTTGATTGAACTAGCTCAACTAGCTAGGTACTTACTTATGTAGCTATGTAAATTTTCGATATTGTCTGATCGATTAATTTAGAGATAGTCAGTACCTTTCGCTATTAGGTGGTTCGACGACATAGCCGGAGTCGCAGGTGCCAGTGGATGAATATGGCGAGTTATCGTTCAACGTGGAAGACTAAGGGTCCACTGCTGGCCTTTGTCCACCAGTGGACATCTTTCGGTTGTTAATTATGATAAAGTATTCCACTTTTTTGTTTTGAATTGTGCCCGATGGTAACAAGTCCACTCAGATCGAGTTGTATTGTATAATATTATTTAATGAGACTGTGAAGGTATTACTTACCTACATGAAACAGTAATGAAGTCTCTAATTTGGAGAAAGGAGAAATATAATGAAACACAAATTTATTTCCAAGCTTTTATTCTGAACCGTTGGGGCCGTTGGGGTACGACCACGTCAGCGTCATCCCTGCCTGGCTTCACCATATCTTTCTGCAGCTCCATTATCATGCGCAGCATGAAGTTGATCACCTGGCTGCAAGTACCGTCTCGTAGTCTTTGGAAGTCCTGGAAAATATGTGAAGGACTTTCGTATAAACTTTCCATAATAGATATCATGTTCATAAAGCATGACTCTTTCAAAATAGTTATACCTAGGTGCAATGTTGACAGATAAAGTGAACTTAAATTGTTTATTGTTTTACCTATATAAACAATCTAAGATTTGCCGAAACCCCGTTCCTTCCTCATTATTTACCACGAACTAATGACCGACCACGCCCAAAAACAATTTACCGAAACTAATTTATAAATTCTTACATAACGTAACATCATGCCTTTTACCCCCGAAGGGGTAGTCAGAGGTGCACATTACGGCACTTAATGGGACTGTACAATGTAACACCCACTTTTCACTTTTTATGTTATGAGTGTAATAGGGGGTAAGTCTATTGCCACATAGCACAATTTCAGACTACGCCTATTTTTTATTAAATCCCAGTGATGTTTTACCCGACCCAGGAAACGAACCCAATGCTCCTTGCCCGGTAGCCGCACTTGCGACCACACGGCCAACGATGCAATAAATGTTTAATTGCCTAAAAAGAAAGAATGGATAAGAATGTCTTCTACTCCACTTGACTAACCGGGTCAGTGAGCTATTTCCTGGTGCAATCTGACCCTGACACTAACAACACATCCATAAAATACCTTTCGTGTAGGAAGACATCGTCCATTGACGCTGACAGTCTGGTGCGTGAGGGACGCGAGCAGACGTTTGAGGATGTCCACCTTCTTGTTGGCAGCCAGCGGCCGGAGTCGAGTCACGAAGCGAAGGAGATACTCTATTAGCATTATGTCCTCCTGGACGGAAAATAAGGGGTTTAAAATGGACAAAGCAACAGATCCCCTGACAGACTGTTTAATTTATGGAGATTCTTGGTTCTACTTTTGCCAAATTTTTGTAGTTCATTACTTCGAGGACTATTTTAATTAACTTCACCTTCATAACCACAAGATTACAACATCTGAACATTGATAATTCGTATCAGTCTATAGGTGGACTTATGGACCTCTTCTACTCTTAATAATTTGCTATAGCCTATAGCAAATTTCTCGTAGTTTAAGACTCACGCTTCTCATGCCTCATGCATGAGGGTGCGGGTTCAGAACCTACCAACGGCAAGTACCAATGTGACTTTTTCCGAGTTATATGTACTTTCTAAGATTATCTAGACATCACTGACAAACGGTGAAGGAAAACATCGTGAGGAAACCTGGGTTTTTAAGTCTGTAATCGCCAACCCGTATTGAGCAAGCGTGGTGATTAATGCTCAAACCTTCTCCGTGTGAGAAGAAGCTTTACTCAGCAGTGGGCATTTATAGGCTGTTAAAGAATTTCTCATAGAGGAAGAGCTAGGTAAGTTCTTTTTTCTAACCCGCCTGTTACACAACAGAACTAGCCTAGGTAGGAGATCGTAGTTTAAATAGTTCTCGTTCGTTTACCAGAAGCACTGGCAAATATGTAATTCCTTAGTAGGCTTACGACATCGGTGGCAAGGTGGCAACTGTTCAGAGGCCATACAAACTTTGTCATCATACCATTGTCAACGCCAGAGCACACGATTCCACATTGTATGCTCTTCCCACGATGAGGGAGAGGTCCTCTCGGTCCAGTACTGGCTGCTTCAGACCTTCCAGCCACTCGAACAGTAGACCGGTCAAGATTGTGGGATCCTCCTTAAAATATATTCTATGATTAATAAATAAATAATTAGTTTTACAAATACATTTTAATATGAGGTTTTTATTCTTAGAAAAAAAAACAGCATCGGTTTAGTTAGCTAGCCCCGTCTGTTTGTCTGGTATATTGGAATTTTACACCCTTTCTGACAACCGGTCGATCTGATATTTCCTTAACCTTAATGACCTTATAAAATAATACATATACTTCATCTAAAGAAGTATTTTTGACACAACCTCCGTTCTGGATATCAAACGTAAAAGCTTGAAACGATTGGTAGAATGGATGCCATTAAAAAAAGATAACGACCAAATTGAGAACCTCCTCCTTTATTACAGTTAAGGATGTCATGGCCAAAGAGTAGAATAAGTATAGGGGAAGTCATGGCATTTGGAAGCATATAACTACCTAATAGTGTTTTTTGTAATTTATATAACTAAGGGGTAGCCCTAGTGTAGGTAGGGGTAGTAGGGGTAGTAGTAGGGTACATATGTACTATCCAAATTCAGACTCCTTGATAGTATGGAAGATTCGAAAACAATAAATTGTTTGGTCGACTCGGCGTGTCCGAAACCACTAACAGACCGTGCGCTTGTGACCCCTTAAACACTAATCATGTGGTAAAATTAATTAAATTAATATTAATACCGCCTCACCTCAACATTGATCTTATCAAACGCATCCCTCTGCTGGTTTATATCATTTCTCAACTGCTTCAAATACTTCTGCCTCTCTTCTGGAAGACTGTGGTGGTCTACTGTGAACGCCTGGAAAGAAGACACGGTCTTGAACGTCTTTGAAAATGAATGAGTGAGCCCTATTTAAAATTCTGGGTCATCCATAAACTACGTCACACGAATTTTATGATTTTTTGCCCGTCCCCCCGGCCTTGTCCACAGTTAGTCAAATCTGTAAAACCGTCGTCACAGTGTGTCGTCACATTTTTCAGAATTACATATTATAAAAATTATTGAATGAAAACAGCGGTTCCGAAATCAGTTTTATTTCTATTTAAATAACTTAAAAAAATATTAATACCAAATTAAACAAAATAAAAAAACATTAATAAAATTATATTTCGTGTTTTAAAATAGTTTTTGAAATGGGACAACACAAAGTTTAGGATCCCTCCCTTCCCCTTGTCACACTATGTCATACTTCGTCGACCACCTCCCTACCCCTTAACGTAATAATTATGGACGGCCCCTACTGATTCATGAGAATTTGACGCCTAATTGAGGGTATTTTTTAGTTTCTTTTGGTCCTTTTTTATTCAGTTTTAGTTTATAGGTGTACATATAGTTATGTATACACGCCTTTAAATTCACTCAGCGGAGAACAGTGCAGTTGCTAAAACACCCATTAACACCCACCAATCACGAGTTAATTTAATAGACAAAATTTTTGAACAACGGAGAATCTAATAGATAGATAATTCTAAAGTCTTTCTGGCAATTTTATTTTCTTGTTTTATTTGACTGCCTCGTTGGCCGAGTGGTCGCAAATGCGACTGCCGACCAAGGCAGTCGGGCTGACTGTCGGACAAAGTATTACTGGGTTTTATCAAAAAATCTCAGTAGTATCACGGAGTCTGGAAATGTGCCCGGTATATGGCAATAGGCTCACCCCCTATTAAATGGGACTCATAACATAAAATAATGGTGGAAAGTGGGTGTTACATTGTACAGTGGCATTAAGTGCCGTAATGTACACCTCGGCCTATCCCTTCGGGGGTAAAAGGCGTGAAATTATGTTACGTTATGTTGTTTTATTTAATAATATTGCTGATCTCTTGAACTCATAAAGGTCTAATTAAACTGGAAGAGTACCTAATGGTTTAAGTTACGACTTTACAAGCAATCTAACAATACGGTAATTAAAAAAACATGCAGATAAATCTATGTAGTGACTAGAATTAATATTAGGTTTAAAAGGAAAATAAGATAATTACCTACTAGCTAGATACCTATTAATGTTGGTTGCGCAAGAAACATGACTATTTTGTTTAAGGACGCGGTTTTAAAACCTACTTTGTTTGTTTTTGCCATAGTTTTTCTTCTAAGATTTTCCTTAAAATTGTTGTTTGTTTACTAAAGGTATCCGTCAGTAGAGTACGCCCTGAACAGACATATACCTACTAACCAGGTTGACGATATAATAAAGAAGAGCCAAATTAAAAGTACCTTTGACTGTTGATGAAGCGAAAGAGGTATGTAGGAATCGTAGCAATTGGCGTTCCATAGTCACTGCCAACCCCGGGAACGTATTATGTATACGTAAGAACAATGTTTACTTATGTTGACGTAGTTGCGGAAAAGATAATTCTATATAAGTGTGTAAATGAATATGTAGTAATGGCTCAACTTCGGATCCTGTTCATGGAGGTTTAAGTTAAAAATTTAGTAGTCGAGGAAGGCACGTTAGATCATCGAGGAACCTGAAGCATTTTGAAAAAGTGGGAAGTTTGAAAAACTATGTGAGAACATAGTCACTTGTTCCTATATGTTACACCAACCTATCAAAATTATTCGATAAGTCAGCATACAACTGACAACAATATTTTTGCTGCGTTTCGTCTGGCCAGTAAGAGTTTTTAACGCCCAACTCGTTGTTAGATTGCATCACCATTTTTGGGGAGCCCTATTTCAGGAAATTAAGACCATCAAGCGTATGTGCTGTTTTGTTAAAAAGAAATTAGAAAATCACAAACCCATCTACTATTAACTATGTACTAGATGTAATTATAGTAAGCTACCTCATGTATCTGCAGTGCAGGTATACTCCCATTGTTGGCAGTGCCAGTGATCCTGCTAACCGACTCCAGGTTCCTCTCGATATCTTCTTCTACTGGGTCTCGCCATTCCACCATTGGCAGAGCTGTTACCTGGTCTGTCAAGGGTATAAACAAAATTCTGTCTATATACTCCCCTGAATATGTAAGAACTGTAGTTATATTTGAAACAACAGCAGAGATTTCTCGAGGAGAAATTAATCCCACGATCGGCCACCATTTCCGAAATTATCAGTAATACATTGATCACTGGATCGTTGCAATAATATAAAAAAGAATTTGAAACCTCTCTGTTGCAGATGTTCATGTTTTGGTAACTGTTGTCTGTCGGGAGTAGTCGGGACATAAAATTATCAAGGATTTATAAAACATAAGCATAAAGTCTGAAATCAAACCCTTAGTCTCGTATCATCACAAGATAAAATATAGAAAGTATGGTATCCTTACCAAGTTCAGTAGCTGCTTCCTCAGGAGTAGTTGGGTCTGGTGGCTTCGTCTTCCTTAACTTGTACACCATGAAGGATTTGTAGAAAGGCTTGTTCTTGATACGGAAGTCCATGCCCACGCTCTGATGACATCCACACAGCTTCAAAAGACGCTCACAGAGGCAGTATACTATCTGGAAAGGTTTGAGTGAAATGTTTTTTGTTGATGGTTAAAATGCGATGAAGAATGGGTCTCATGTTGGAGTCAATGTTTCAAGAAGCGACGAAGACTAGTATTTTATTTCGTTCTTTCTATATTATTTGATCCTTAACTCGTCGAGTACCGGTTTTGTAGACACAATTATAGAACAATAGGTTGCGGTCACCGGTGACCGCTTGGTGTTTGACAGTTTAAAGAGTACAGGTAGTGTGGATGGTCAAAACCGTTGTGGATAACGTGGAGTACCTATAATGAGATCAGAATATTTACCTTTGGCAGTTCCCTAAAAGCTCTCTCCTCAAGGCCGTGTAACGTAGCTCGCTGTCGGTACAGATACTGTTTCAGCGTGAACTCTGATGTCTTCTTATCTTTGGTCAAGTTTAGGGTTTCTCTAAAAACAATTGAGAAACAGTTTATTATGTACATTTATATTTGTGTAATTATGGAGCTTTATTTTGTCCGAGATTTGTCTTCGATTATCCACGGAAATGTAATAAATTTAGAGATATATTTTTGGAAATCCGGAATGATAAAAATGGAACTGGTTTCACGCTAATTCGCTGAGAGATCAACTGACCTATACAATAAGTAGGTTCTTTTTCTACTCTATTATGACTTAAAAAACTTATTTGGAAAATATAACTTACTTGGAACTAAAAACAATAGTCTGTGGCAGCATGTAGTGCTCAAACTGCTGTACGCAGAGGATCTGACCAGAAGTCTGGACTGACTTAGGTCTCTTCTTACGAACTAGGCGGATGGCATCATTGGCTCTGATGCGGAGGGAGTAGACTAGGTAACAGGCTATTAGGACACCTGTGCGACCTAGACCTGGAGGAGGAAAGGGAAAATATGGTTATTTGGAGTTTCTTGCGAGATGATCTTTGAAGTAATCTTCATGTGTGAAAGAAATTTATGTATTTGTAGATATTTGACTTTTAAACCGATTTTATAATTTTTTACCAACTTCAAAAAAAGGAGGAGGTACTATGTTCGGCTGATTGTTTTTTTTTGTTTGTTCGCACATTACTCAGCCATTTGTGAACCGATTTCCAAAATTCTTGTTTGGTTTTAAAGGCTATACTCCCGAGAAAGGGTCTGGTCTGGAGCTCATATCATAATGCCACAAAATTGTAAATTAAGTATCTATTAAGGTTTTAATGAATAATTTTGTATAGAACTTATGGCGCCGACTTCTAACCTATCAGTGGGTGGGTAACCTATCAGAACTAATAATAGTTGTTTTTTGCTTTTTAGTTTTGACTTTTTGTTTGTTATTAGTTTTTGGTTTTTTGAATAACGTTGCCTGTGCCAGATTTTCACCTGTGTCGTACTATGCGTTTAAAATGACAGGTGATATCTTGAATCGCAACAAATAGAGTTCCTTATCTTATCCATTTTCACCGACTTAAAATAGCCTAAGTAGGTTATTATGTTCGGATAATTGTTTTTTAGGTATAAGATAGAAGTTGCGTACATGACTGCATACCAATTTGTATTACTTATGTATCATCCATCAGTTAATTTAAATTACTGAGTTTTACATTGTTTGCTAATACTTTGTATATTTGATTGCTAATACCTACGCCTAGTATAATTTGTATCATGACAAAGCGAAAGGAAAATAACAGTTACCTATGAAACATCTACAGATTCTAGCTCACACATTCACACATACACTCATCTTTTCTGGGCAACAGAGTTCTTCGTCTCTGATGATCCCTTTCAACCACGATTTCTATAGAAATTGTGACAAACCTTATAGTTATTTATTTGTAGAGAAGGCCTATCTACAGTCCAGCAGTGGACTGTTGAAGTTCTTGTTACGATTATGCGACACTTTAGATCGAACATATAGGGAACACATAGCGAACAAATAGGTTCGCTATTTAAGCTACGAATATTTGCTCGTGTCGTCTGTCTATCGGTTACCGACTGTCGATTAGTCCTCTAGCAGTTAGAGGACTTATTGACAGTCTGACACTTTTTATTTTGTTTGACGTCCAAAAGTGTATTTTCGAATTTAGTGCATTTTGGATTTTGAATTCAACTTCGAGTTGGCAATGGATTCAAATGATTAATAGGTATGTACACTGATTATATATCATATAATACTGATTAATTAATATCTATATTCTAAGTGCACTTTGTACTCTGTCTATCCATCTGCAAAATAACAAAGTATTATATACTTAAATTGACTGCCTCGTTGGCCGAGTGGTCGCAAGTGCGGCTGCCGGGCAGGGGGTCTCGGTTTTGATTCCCGGGTCGGGCAAAGTATTACACGGTTATAAAATTGCAGTAGTAGCACGGAGTCTGGAAATGTGCCCGGTATATGGCAATAGGCTCACCCCCTATTACATGGGACTCATAACATAAATAGTGAAAAGTGGGTGTTACATTGTACAGTGGCGTAAAATGCCGTAATTTGCATCTCTGGTTACCCCTTCGGGGGTAAAAGGCGTGATATACTTACCGGAAAGAATGAATGCACATGCAACTACCTAAGGTACCTAACATACTAACAAAGCAGTTAACATTGACATATTTTCTGATAATTATCTGTAATTTATAGGTAAACACGTATAATTTATAAACTAGATCTATTCCGTAAATTATGTACACTCAATAAAGTGCATTTTTCTTATTCTCTCAGGAAATCCTGTGTTTTAAACCCAGTCTCTAGATTTACACTGAACATTGAATACAATAATTCAATCTAGTAAATGTAACCCGGTCCTTCATCTTCGAAGATGGCTTAACTCGTCGAGTACCGTCATTATAGACACAATTATAGAACAATAGGTTGCGGTCACCGGTGACCGCTTGGTGTTTGACAGTTTAAATAGTGTATAAATTAGTAAACTTAGCCATAATCTGGGATCATAAGTATTTCAGTCCATTCTCATGAGACAATGTTATTTTTTATAAAACCCGCTTTGTAGTTGGGCCTCCGGTAACCTCGCTCACACGACGAAACACAACACAAGCGTTGTTTCACGTCGGTATCTGTGAGGCCGTGGTATCACTCCGGTCGAGCCGGCCCATTCTTGCCGAAGATGGCTCTTCCACACTTTCTTAAACGATAGTATTTTATACTATACCTTTTTTTTTTTTTAAGGAGGGAAAATCATCAAGTGACTGCTCCCGCCTGGGTGAGGCGGGAGGGAGTGTCAGACTCTTACTGTCTAAAAACCACCCCGTTCCTTCTCCTGCACGTCGAGCCGGAGCCCCGGTTACTCGTTAGGTTCTCCGCGACTTTTATACTATACTTGGTTACCTATAAATCTTTTGTAAAAGCCTTAAGTCTTATTTTTAGAAAAAGGAGGTAGAACAAAAAGTAAAATATCATTTCGTTCATTTCATTAACAAGTTAGAAGGTTCCTGGAACAAAGAAAAATAATAACAAAACAATGCCGTTTATTTTATGACATTCATTTACTTACATTAAAACTTTAGTCACGCATTCGTTAAGGTAGCTTGCTAGCTTGCTAGTCACATTTTGTTTGGTCATCTTATATGGTAGTCGAAAGGTTAAACTAGTCTTTAAACTGTCAAACCTATTGTTCTATAATTGTGTCTACAAAACCGGTACTCGACGAGTTAAAGAAGATAGAAATATTTTGGTTATTCATTAATTCGTTCTTTATCATAGGAATGAGAATCAGAATAGAGAAGAAAAATCTTTTTTTTAGTTAAAAATTTTTTTTTAAGTTATCTAATCTTTTATTTACAAATAATATAAACTTAAATAAAATACATACTAACTATTACTAAGTTAAATAAAATAAACATATACAATTTAAGGCGTAAATATTTTAGTTTTAAATTACTAGTAACTTAAAAAAGAAAATATATTTTGGAACAAGCAAATAAGTTAATGACCACCCGGACGAAAAAGGTCAATATTGTTGTAATTAAAATTGCATTATTTTGCATTATATATCGTCAAGTCATCAGTTGCATTATTTTGCATAGTGATGTGTACATTTTTATTTCAGTCACATTCACATTAATTAATTTTAATAGTCATAGTTATATTAAGCCTTTAACAGAAAAAATACTACTGATATAGGTAAAATCAATTAAATATCTAGAGGGTTGCAATAGTTTTGCGAAAACCAAACACAAAAACTGTTGTTTGCACTTTAATTTTAAACAAAAACGGGGCAAAACTTCAAAATATTTATATTTCGATATTAATTTAGGGTTTTGTTTTGTACTGTTACTGTAAGTACATAACAAAATACATATGAAAATATCTACTCAATAGATTAAGTGTTGTTGAAATGTTGTTAAAAATGCAATTAGCAATTATTATTCTGATAACAATATTTATATCTTGCGTAGCTATTATTAAGTATTACATGGCATTGACCAAGATCCATAGAATCCTACCTAGTTACCTCTTTTATGCTCGATTTCAAATACCTCTTGAATCGTCGTGGAATTAACGGAGCACCTTCGTCTGTCAATAAGAGTCCGACAGTCCCCTTCGTCCTCCCCAATCGAGGGAGTGCCATTAGGATTTTCCACTTTGGGGTAAACAAGGTGGATTCTACATGATATCCCTTGATGCCAACAGTAACACTATAAATAAGATAAACAATTCCTTATCCTACACCGAAATTTTCACTAAAAACTATCTCTATATGACGTACCAATTAGTTTCCTCCAATTTTACATATACCGGAATCTTTTTGTTTTATGCGATAGTTAATTTAACTAGTCAGTTCTACACTTTTATTCCAAACTCTTTCCACGAGATCTTCATTGTTAGCTAGCCCCTTGTGTTTCACTTCACAGCATTCCGAGAAATACTTCCCTCGCACATTCTGCACCTCTTCAGCGACACACAGGTGGACAACTGTCTGCGCTCCTTCTTTAGGCGTCTTGAAGTTCAGTAAATCACAAAGAAACATAAATACTTTACGAAACCAAGGAGGCAGTTTGTTGAATATATTCGTTCTGACCAAACCGGGATGTAAAGAGTTCACTGATATTTCCTCCGGCAGTTTCTTAGCTAACGCCTTGGCCCACAGCACGCCACACAGCTTGCTGTTGTTGTAGTTATAAAACATTGCTTTCAAGCTGTGCCCGACTATTTTGTCCAACGTATCGACATTTATGTTCCCGAAGAAGTGCAATATAGATGACACTATGACAATCCTACTTGGTTTGCTAGCGATGAGTTTTTCAGTCAGCAGTTTTGTGAGCAAGAATGGTCCGAAATAATTGACTTGCATCACGAAGTCGATTCCATCCACAGTGTACTTAGGTTTATCGCCACCACGGCCTGCATTGTTCACTAAGATGTCTAGCCGGTCATAGATATTGTTAAAATCTGCAGCAAACTTCCTGATGCTGCTGAATTTCGACAGATCTAGGTGCATATACTCGACTTGCTTGTTTCCTGTTGTGGCCACGATGTCCTGTATCGCTTCTGCCGACTTCTCTGCACCACGGCAGGCGATGATTACTCTAGCTCCCCTGGCTGCGAGCTCCCTTGCAGTCTCTAGACCGATGCCCTGGTTCCCTCCGGTCACTAGGGCGATCTTCCCGTCGAGTCTTGCATTGGATTTACACACACCTTTTACGGATTCTATTCGAATCTTGTAGTATAGGAGCCCCAATAATGTTAGCAGACATATTGCTATATATAAGTTAAATACGATCAGCAATAAATAATAAACGGCTGTGAGGAACATGTTGCTGCGTTGATAAGTGTACAGTTACTAACGATCGACTGTATAAATTTAGGATTGAGCCATATTCATATTCTTAACTTTATAAAACCAGTAAGGCTATTGATACACGTGCGGTTCAGGGTTATACATTTTTACGCACCGTTCCAATACTTATTTAGTAAACAAAAAAAAATACCTCCTTTTCGAAAATAATGCGAACTGAGAAATATGTTTGGTAGTAATAATAATAATAATAATCTTTATTGTACACCTTAAAGTAATATAAACATATATGTAGAGTTACAATCAAGAATAGTAGGGCACAAAGGCGGCAGGCGGCCTTATCACTAAAAGCGATCTCTACCAGGCAACCTTTGGGTGAATGGAGCACTGAATGATAGTGGAGGTGATTCTAGGCATACTCAGGTACTTACATCACATACCTATACATACACATACATACATACATACATACATACATACATACATACACACATACATACATACATACATGCATACATATACATACACACACATATATACATAAGGATATGTAAATAAATAAAAATAAAATATATACGCATGACGGATAAGAGTCAGCAGGGAAAACGAAATAGTAATTTACTACACCGTGGTGAGGTAATGTTTCCTCACGAGTGCTTTAAACGTAGCGAGTGTCTGTGCTCGTCTTACAGAAAGAGGCAATGCATTCCACAGTCGAACAGCTCGAACAGTGAAGGATCGGTCAAAGGATCTGTATAGGCCGCGGCCTAGGGGCGGCAGCGTCTTAGGGGGGGCGGCAGATTTTAGAGGACGGTCACTCGATTTCAGACTATAAAAGTAAAACACGTTCACTGATTTTATCATGTTTTTCATAGGTACTTAAAGAAATCCCTATAAAAACTCATTCGTATCGAAACCTAGTGAGTGAAAGATGAGAACAATGCGGCTCTCGTCAATTTTGAGAAATCAATCTCTGATCTCTGTCCAATGTTTATCCCAACTTGGATATATAGTTGTACACATTGCTCTTTCCACTCCGGCTACAAATTGTTCTGTGAAAAGGTGTTTTTCCTATATAGAGCGCGTGAAAAATTATCATAGGACAACTGACAAAAATTTAAACAAGGAGGAGGTCATCAATTCGGCTGTATGTTTTTGTAATTTTTTATATAGTATTTAAAATTACTACAATTTGATGAAGGTGTGGATTTGTTATGATGATGGAGTCAAGAGACAGTCGAGGGAACTCCTCGAGGATTTGTGGCAATGACCGCGTGTTTGGGCTTAAATTATTTGTATTGAAAAGATCTTTACATCTAGATGGGATGTGATTGTCATTAGGGGTGTGATGATGAAGTAGTATGATAGCTAAGGGAACTCCTCAACGGTTAACAGTAGCTACCTGATGTTTGGGCTTGATTATTTTGTATTACTGAGAACTTTACACCTAAATGGGGTATA